TTTAATCCCTCTTGTTTTTCTCCTCCTTTGAGCTCATTAGTAATCTCTTTCTATATATAGGACTCTTATGCCAAATTTTAATTCTTAAATTAATGAAAAAAATAAAATTTGCTTGACAAATTTAATTATGATTTCTTTTTATTTTCCTTTAATCCCAAGTCTTTTCCAATTTTTTTTTATTTACATCCTTTGAATTCTCAAAATTCAATCTGATTAAAAACAATTCAATTTTGAATTTCTTTTTATGATTTTAAAATTTTTTCTTTTTCCTTTTTTTTTTTGTTTTGACACTTTAACTTTAACCTACTAAAAAATAAATAAAATAAAATAAACTAAAAGGAAGCATTTCTAGACTTTTAATTATCTAAGGGTCATGGATCGGGTTATAAGTTTGGGTTAGGTCTAATTCATGAGTTGCTTGGAAGTTTTTCCCTTTTTCTCTTTTTATTTTAAACAATACATTTAACACCTTGGGATGAATTACTAAACCTTTTCTTTTCTTTTCTTTTTTTAACTATAAAACCAAAACATTTATTTTTAACTTTATTTTAATGCTTCATTTTTTAAAAAAAATTTCCTTTCCTTCAAACGAAACCTAATTGCCCCCTAACACAATTTTTGATGACTGACAACCATTTGGACCACTGCTTGCCATCTACTATCGTTGTCAGTCGATGTTATTTATATCCCAACTTTCATTCACAACTTCTCCTCGACCTTCTAATCTTTGTTTTAAGCTCAAATTTTTCCAAAATGGTTGAGATCTACCTAAATTTGAAAATTTAAACTGAATATTCAAACCATAAAATCTCTTCCTCTCACTATTTGATCGTTATGCATTTTTAATATGTTGTTCTCCTATCCTTAACTTTTTTTCCTCTGTCTCTGATCTCTCAAAAGTCCTTCACCGCCATGAGCAGCCTTTAACACTGCCATTCATTCCTTGTTGTTTATAAGTTATAAAAAACCCTCTTTCTCTCTCTTGTCCTATAAGCTTAAAAGATTTGAGCCAAATCTACCTAGAAACTCTCATACCTAAAATCCCTTTGTTTTTGGCTTTTTTTCCTTTTTTTTTTTTTTTACTTTTGGCGTTGCTTTTCCCCATTTTAAGGGATGTGTTATGATTTTGTTTTTTGTTGGTTTTGGGTAGGTGTTTTGATGATAATGGTTGAGGGATGGGGATGCTTGGTTAAAAGGGTGTTTCATCTTAGCCACTGCCTGTGCCGAAGTGTCAGCTTTGGCTTCGTTGAGGTAGCCATAAGTTTGTGCTGTCAAAATTTTTGTTGTTTTTTCTTTGCCTTTTAAGAGATGAATCTATATAATTTAATTGGATTTTAATAATGCTGATGTTATAATGAGGTAGTTAATTTACAAAGCTTATATGGCAATAAAGTGGTTGATTTGGCATTCAAATGAACAATATAATTGCTAACTTGGCAATAAATTGAGTATTGGGGACAACTTTTATATATAAGTACATACACTATCCATATTAATGCTAATTTATACACATCCATACAAATAAAAATGCTAATTTTCTCATTTAGGGTTCATTCTAAAATTTCCTAACTTTTATATAAATGTTAGAGAACACATTTATCTAAATTGAATTAGAAACAATTGCAAAGAATCATAAATTAAAACATTATTGATGTTAAACATAGTTGTAATATTTTTTAGATTATTAAGATGGAGTGTGATTAGCTTATTTAATTACAAAATTTTTGCAAGTAATGGGAAGAAAAAAAATTGTATAAAAAGAAGTTTAGTGAAAAGAGAAAAAGAATATGAAAGAAGAAATTTCAAAATGCACAAATATGAAGACTAGGTATTGTTTGATAAACCAAAAAATATTAAACATTGAAAATTTAAGTGAGAAAATTTTAATTTTGAAAATAAATTTAACTAAAATATCATTTGGTATGTTGTTGAAAATTAAATATTGAATGAATATTTTCTTTCATTAATTTGTAAGAGTAAAATGTGATTTTATTAGGATTTGACATTAATTAAAGCTAGAAAAGAAAGAACACACAATAAAAAGGAAAAATTATAAGATTAATATAATTAAATTATAAAAGTTTCCTTAAAGGAAATTGTTGAATATAGGAGGTAGGTTTTATTATAATAAAAGTTTGGTAATCTATGATACAAATTTAGTAATTTTTTGATATTATTTTGATAATTTATAATATAATTTTGGTAGCATTTGACAAAATTTTAGTAACCTTGATATAATTTTTTTAATAACACAATTGTTGTAATTTATGATATAATTTTAATAACTAATTTAATCACAAAAATAATAAAAATAAGACATTAAAGATGTAGAAAAAAAGTTTAATAAGAAACTTTTAAATTTTTAAGAAAGATGAATAAGAAATTTTTAAATAATGTTATGTTCAATAATTTCAAGTTTTTAACTTTTTAAAATAAATTTAAATCAATATTAAGTTAGTTCATTTTATAATTACGTGTATTATATAAATTTTAATTAAATTAAAATTTAAAATAAGTGAAAAAATTATTTATACTTAATTTGAGTTTAGGTTAGTGTTATGAATAACTTTAAATAATATTGAAATATTTAATGTGATATTTAAACTTTATAAATTTCTAATTTGATACTTAAATTTTAAATCTGTTAACTAAAATAATATTTACCCCCTAATGTGGCTAGCTTTTAAGGATGACACATGACAAGCAAATAACCATTCAAGTATTATATTAATTAATAGATTCATAGTTAAGATACTATAATTATAAAAAAATTTTAAAATTTAGGTACAGTATGAAACATTTTACTATAGTTTAGAAGATCGTTTATGACATTAATTTTTAAAAATATTGACTTAATATATATTATATATCTTTATTTAATTTAGCTTTGATACTTGTATTAACATAATAAATTATAATTTTAAATTTTAACTTGTTATTATGTGTTAAACTATTAATAACAAATTAAGAACATTTAATTATTGTTTTTCAAGTAATTTGCACTTAAAATTCTTCTTGTAGTTTACACTTAAAATTCTTCTTACTTTCGTTTTGTATTTTACAAATTATATTATCAGTATATATTGTGACTATCATTTCTATAGTACATGCACGAAAACTAATTAGTATAAAGATGTAAATGAATTAAATTATTGACAAATTATTCAGGTTTAATTTGAAAAAGTTAAAATTTAATTATTTTATTATCGAATCAACTTCAAACTATTTGAGTAATGAATAAATTTCAAATAATTTAAATTTTTATTTGAGAGATTCATGAATCTAAATGCATTTAATCAAAAAATTTTAATATATTTAATTTATATATAGATCAATAACAAAAATTTAATATGTAATATTAATATATATAAAAGTGAGTTCGATTTAAAAATTTAAAAATCGATTTAATAAGCTTCATATAGAAATAATCAAAATTGATCGAATTTATCTAAATAGTCGATAATGATGGAACCGAGTTATACAAATCGATTTGGTCAATGTTCGATCAGTTTTTCACCATTTTTTCACTCATTTGTAATATTATCTTTTGATTAAGTGTACTCAAATCAATGAACAATTGACTACTAAATAAATAAACAGAATGTCACGAACATCTAAGGCAACACAATATTGAATGGAGTTTATAAGCATCGAATGTGTTAAAAAATCACATATGAAACTTTAACAAAATTATAAAAACATGTAAATTATCAAAAGCTCAGTCATACTTAATAGTAATCTAGTAACTTTTACTCAAATGACAAACAACAACCTTGGATGGAGAGTAGGAAATTGGGATGAATTTCAACTTATTCAACCGGCATATATAAAAATCGACAGCTCACCCAACAGTAAACTACCTAATCAACCCATAGCCACTTGACAATGCTCAAAATCAAATAGAAGTAAGCCCCACAACAAAGATTGTTGGCCTGGGTTAGAGAGGAAGAGGTAAACACCATTGATGGAGGAGAAAAGAGAAGAGATGTCGGATTGAGAGAAGAGAAGAGGTAGTGGATTGGTGACTGGTTGGCTGCTGTAGCATGTGAGAAAAGAGAAGAAATTGACAAGGGTGAGTTAAGAGATGAGAGAAAGGCTACTGGGAATGGAGAAAAAGATAGAGTCAAGAGAGATGAAAATAATTTGCGGTTAGGTTTAGTATAAGGGTGGGATAGGTATTCACAAAAGAAAAAAATTTATTTATATTTTTATATAATCGATTATTTTAGTTTATTCGATTACTAATTTTATAAACCAAAAATCGATGGAATTTATCGTTTAAACCTATAAAAATACGGATTCATATTAAAACCAATTAAATCGTGATCGATTTAGTAAGTTCTAACTGATTAATGCTTTTTTTTTTAATTTATAAATTTATCAAATTTATCAAATTGAATTTAATGAATTCAATTAAATTACGAAATAAATTCAAATATAAAAAATAAAATTTAATTTAATTTAAATGGAAATTTGTGCTTCCATTTTTTTTTTTAACATCAACCAAATTTAAATCCGATTTAATTTGGCTCAATTATTTCAATTTTTATGGTAAACAAAGGAAAACTATAGGAAGAATATGATTGAAGCAATTTACTTCTTATGTTAGCCTTTTCTGATGCTTGTTGTTTGGCGAAAGAGAAGCCAAATTCTGAACTTAAATTGCATATATTGCTCGCATTTTGGTTTTGCGGAACTTTTTAGTCCATCAACTGTCAAATGCAGTAAACATGATTGTAGTGATATCATCTTTGTGCCCTTTCGTTTTGTTGGTTCATATTTCATCGCCATGTGCTCTCTTTGGATTATATTCATTGAATCTCGTTTGAAATTTTGTCTTCGTCATTTGATGTTAGTTTTTACGTCTGTGGTTTGCCTCATAATTTGAATTTAGAAAGTAAGTTAGGAAATGATACTCGATGTAAAGTTGTGAATTATATTAATTCTTTGTGCTTGAATTTGATGTGGGTGTGTCTAATTGCAGAGATCTGGGCAACTACCTGGTGTAGGCATTGTGCATGCTCCAATTGCTTTGTTGCCCATGTCATTTCCAGTATCTCATTGGAAACAAGCATGTGAACTAGCTCCAATTTTCAACCAACTAATTGATCATGTAAGTTTAGATGGAAAGTTTCTGCAAGATTCACTATCTAGGTACTTTCTCTCTTTCTCCACCATTGATTTTGTAGTTATGTAAGTACTTTGTTCTTATAACTGCAGTTAAGTGATATGCCATTATCTGAACCATTAGGCTTGAACATATTGACCATAATCCAATTTGTCCTGTGAGAATACTGTTTGCTGTAAATTGATATTGCCAATGCTTAACATTTCAGGACAAAAAAGGTGGATGCTTTTACCTCTAGACTTTTAGATATTCATTCCAAGATGCTAGAAATGAACAAGAAAGAGGTAAGTGGGTAACAATTACAGATATTTGATCTTTAATAATATGGGGAGGATTTATTATGATTATGGAAGTGGAGTATTTTAAGGTTGAGATGTACTTCTAGAATCTTTGTGCTCTTACCTTTTGTTCTTCATGCTCTTTGTCACTTTGTTCAACTAGTGTTCATTGTACATTTTTGTGGTACCTGTCAATTGGGTTCCAACAAGAAGAAGAAGCTACTTGATAATTTCTTTCCCAGGGATGTGTTCATTGTTGAAGATTTGGTGATCATATGTTTTATATGAGATAAAACAAGTATTATCAGGGCAATTATTAGTACCTATTAAATTGTTTTGGTCTATTGGCCGAACTATTTGCTCTAAATGTGAAAAAAACAATACCTTGTTTTTATTATGTGAGCGAATCTAATCATATGCAATTTCTGAAATAGGAAATACGCTTGGGTTTACATCGATAAGATTACATGCTTGATGAGAAAACTAAATTGCTCCTCCAAACAGAGTTGAACACAATTTTGTCTTCATTTCCTGCTCTTGGTTGTCTTGTGACCGACCTTCACAGGTTGAGCAAATAAGCATTTTGACTTAGTACCCCCATCATAACTTTATTTCTATTTGTTTAAATTTGAATATTGCCGTGCTGGAATTTGCATTTTGAATGAAGCTTATTGGAAAAATCATTTATATTACTTGTGTTTGTTCTTGTCACTTTAACATTGAGATTAATTTCTAGGAATTAAGTGACTGAGTGTTGTTTTAACATGTGAAGAAAAGCTGTGAAGTGCAGAGATAGGATTTTTACTCTGGTACTAATCAATTACTAAAGAAAGTTTCATCAGCCTATATTTATTGCTAACCTGAATTGAAAAAAGCATAACCATTGTAAGTGCTAAATTTACTATTTTTATGCAATGTTTCAACTTCTTAATGCCCTTAATATTTGAAATATAGCATAAAGGAGTAATAGAAACATTTTGTTGGTATAGCGCTGCAAAAAGCTTGAAAGACATTCTGAATTGCTGATGCACTGTTCAGCAGACAGAAGTATCGAGAAGTTTGTCAGCCATAACTAGTCATTTTGCAGGACCCTACTTAATGACTATGGCCAAGACCTTGGATTAGATTCTAAAAGGATCCCAGTAAACACTGCAGTTGGTCAGTTTGCTGAGGCATTGGCTAAAGCATGGACTGAGTATAATAACTCCAGGTTAACTTTGAAAAAATATGCCCTCATGGTTCTTGACTTGCTGCAATCATTGAAGTCATTTTGGTGCTTATAATTTCTTTTTCTGAGTACAGGGCTGTAGCAATGGCTGTTGTTCAGACGGAAGAACGCAATATGTATGACCAACATTGGCTTTGTACAATGTTGAAGGAAAGATATCCCTTTTAACCTTTTATATCGATTGGTTGAAGAAATATGGTAAAATCTGTTCATAGTAAAATAAATGTATTAAGATGTATCTTTAAATTAGAAAGCTTCAAATTGAGAGCTCACTTCACATTGCGTTCCTTAGCTTGATAACACACATAATTTAAGAACTATTAGGAAAACATTGGCTGAAATTGATAGAGATGGGAAACTTCTACCTGATGGCACACTTCTTGTGTATGTATCTTTACATTGTAATAGAGATGATTTTTCTGACCTAGATTTTAGAATTACCATGTCCAGCTTCTATTTTAATGTCTAAAATTTTGAACCTGTAGAGATGGCCAAGCAGTTGCAGTTGTCTACATTAGAGCAGGGTATGCACCAACTGATTATCCTTCAGAGGCAGTAAGCAATTTCACTTTTTTTTTTCTTGCTACTTGTCACAAATATGATTTTTGATGGCTACTTTTCATGTTTTTCTCAAAAAATCGCTGTCACAAATATGATTTTGATGGCTACTTTTTTTTATTCGTGTCATTTCCAGAGTTAACTTTGATTTTTTTTTCACTATGAAGTACTCATCCTTGCCAATTAAAGCAACACTGGACTGTTTTTGACTTTTTGGTTTTTTGATGTCTGTTACATTTTTATTTTCTAGGAGTGGAGAGGTACACTGCTAATGGAGCAGTCCTTAGCTATCAGGTGCCCGCCAATATCATATCATTTAGCAGGAACTAAGAAGATTCAACAGGAACTTGCAAAACCTAATGTACTTGAGAGGTAATTAATTCTATATTTCTCAGTGAATAATATATTAGCAATACTCTGTCCGAGTCATCTATGGTTTTAGGTGTAACTGAGTTAGATTTTAAAAACATCCTCTTTAAAGATTTATTGCCAGTGGCTAGAAGATGCCTTACAATTGTTTGGGGAACTTTTTTCCTTTTTAAATGAAATCTCAAACTTCAAAGCATTTACTACTTATTCAACCTCAAAATGGCAACCCCAATATTATGGAACTAGGATAGTGAAGTGTTATGGCATGTTGTTTTTTCTGTTAATGCAAGTATATTAGCATAAATTTTTGGTTAACAACTACCATCACTTAAAGTTGTATGTCTTCCTTGAATTTTCTCTTCCCCTTGCAAACAGGTTCCTTGAGAACAAAGAGGATATTGCCAAACTGTGAAAATGCTTTGCTGGATTGTGGAGTTTGGATGACTATGATATCACCAGAAAATCAATAGAAAAACCCTAGTTATTTGTCATGGAGCCCCAAAGAGGAGGAGGTTCCATATCTCAAGTCTTTAGAGCATAAATATTGTTTTTCATTGTATTGATTCAGTTGAGAATTGAGTCTTCGATCCCATTTCAGGAAACAATATCTACGGTGATGATGTGAAAGAAACCCTTTTACGATTACTAAAGGAAGGGTCTGAAGAAGATGCTGCTTATATACTTATGCAGAGGATTTTCCCAACTGTTTCTCCCACATTTTTTATGCGTGATGGCATTTGTCATAAAGATAATGCCATATCAGAGCTTGGGGTATACAGTGCTTACTCAAGGTACATCTTAGTGTTTTTGTTTCATCCTTTTATTGCAACTTGTGTCATTTCCATATAATGCTATTAAATTCTCTTCTCTTATCAATCCCGATTGACCAACGGGAATGAAGGGGAAAGAAAAGGTTAAAATGGTTTTCACATGGTAAATCTTTACCCTTTTAGTCTCACATTTCTCCTTTTAGATGTACTGGAGAGTCATCAGTTTGCACATGCAGGAACAAGGAGAATGTTATCATGAATGACCAATGTGGTTACTTGATGCAGACCAAGAGATCATCATCAAATGAAGGTGGGGTTGCAGCCGGATTTGCAGTCTTAGATAGTATATATTTGACTTGATGAGCCGAGCTTCTTGGTTACCATCAACTTTACATATATATCCAAACATTTACTATTGATTTATTTGCATGACACTCAGTTTGGTAAAGCAATTGTCCTCGATATCTTGAAACAGCTTGAAAAGCGTTTCAAGTGTTTGCTCACATGGAAAATTTTATGGATATCATCTTCTTTCCGTCATTGGCGACCTGGTAAACCAGGTTGTCATACTGCTGGTTTTCAGTCACTGCAAAACATCTTATGTGATTACAAACATTATCCCAACAGGTTTTTTTTTTTTTCATCTGATCAATAACTTGATTGGTTCTTGATGTCAGCAGCTCACTGGACTGTTAATAATAGATGTGTTGGCCCTCTTTCCAGAGTTTATCTTTTCTAATTATTTTAATGAGATATAATCCAAAGTTGCATCTTCTGGCCATGCCGAAGTAGTGAGACACATGGCTTTTCACTTGAAACAAGGCTTAAGGTAAAACTGATAAGATAGACTTGAATAAATTCATCCAGATATTGAAACCATCTCATCAATGGGCAAAGTATGCGGTGGCAGCACAATGGTGACTGTCGATGGGCAAAGATGACAAGACGCCTTTCAAGAGGCAGGGGAAGAGAAAGTGTAGGCAGGATGAGGAAAGTTACGTGTCACTGTGTGGTTGTCTATCATACATGGGGAAGGTTATGTGGCGTTGCTGTGGTTGAATGCGCGCAAGATCTATATATAATATAAAAAATTTTACACAACAACAGTCACGTGTTGTCGTAGACTTTTTTTTTTTTCGTATTTTCTATCAAGTTTCATCTATTTATCATAGGTTGTCCTGACATCTTTTATCTCCAAATTATCAATTCATAAAACAGCTAACGATCACAACATAGCACATTCAAAATCACATACACAAAAAAAAAAAAGCCAACAAACGCGACATAAAGGAAAATAACTAACAACCATAACACTAAAAATGAATCCAAAATGAAAAAGTGAGATCTCGGGTGTGATGGATTTTGGATTTGGTTGGGTTTTGACAGGGTTTCCTTAGGGGTTTATGCAAGGAAAGGAAGGAAAACGAGGAAGCCACCACCAACTATAAGAGAGGTAGCAGCGTACGAAAGCTGAGGCAGCAAAGAGATTTATTGAAAAATCCAAATCGGTGGACAGAAAGGACTTGAGGAGGGTAATAACATATTAAAATTTTTGGTCATTTAGAGTGATGGAAGGAAGGTAATTCTGAGCTTGAAGCCGTCGGCTTTTTTTCGTAAATGCCGGGTTAAATCGTGATTTTTTTCTTTATCCACTTGGATAGATGAAAAGAGGAGATTAATTTAATATTTTTTGGAATTTTTTTGATGATGGC